AAGCCATGACTACTCATATTCTATTTGCAACTTAGGCTTTTCAACAAGACAGTATGCTCACTGGAGACCAGGAGGCATCCTTCCTTCCCAGTGCCACCTGGTAGCATCTAAATACTAGCAAAATTAGTAGGTAAAATTGTCAAGGAAATTTATGCAGAAAGAGTCCTCTTCTGATTGCTTAGTGGCTAGTCTCCTCATCATCAACGGTGACATGGGCAGTGTTTTCTCCTCCCTGAACCAGGAAAATGTGTTATCCCTGTTCTCCCTCAACTCATGCATTCATTCTACATTTACTGCACATCTGCATGCCAGGAACTGTGCTGTATACAGTCGACATAGGAAGCCAGACATGTGAACACATAAGTAAGGTTCCAATAATAAGAATTATAGTCGGAGCAAATGCAAAATATTATCGGAGCAAGGGTAAGAGAGTGATGTACACTGCTAATAAATCCCCTGGAAAGGTTCCTTGCAGGAAGTCTTTTACCTAACAGTTTTGCAGTTGACAGAGAGGAGGAAAGACATGATGCCAAGAAAAAAAATAGCATGCAAAAAGGCATGGAGGGACAAATATCCTGGAGTATTCAGGAAAGAGCAAGGAGCTTGGTGTAGCTGGAAGCAAGTAAGGGTGGGAAATAGGAGGCAAATCAGATGTTTCTAAAGAGAAACACAGCTAAAGCATTTATTTGTTCAAGTAACAAATACTTCCTGAGCTGGGCCTGTAACAGATCTTTAGCAGTAAGTGAACAGACTTGACCCCAGCAGCCCTCAGGGAACTTTCAGCCTAGTGGAGAAATCAGGCTCTAAAGAAACCATTGACCGTAGTGTGGAGTTCTGAACAGCATTGTCATGCCCTGTTACTTTAAGGTTTCATGGAGCAAGAAAAATAAAGCCTCGAATTTTTCAAATGAAATAAAATTGTCATAACCTTATTTGCCAAATTTTTAGCATTATGTGCCTTCCAAAGTGTGGAATTTTCTTTGCCACTTGACATGCAATAGCAACAACAAAACCAATAAAATACTAAGAAATTAATGGGAGGAAGACCTGTTCATCACCTAAATGAAGAAAGATGCAAGTTTACTGCATGACTTTAAAAAGAGATACCATCATCTTTAAGAATCTTAGCAGTACTAGTATTTTTAGTCTAAATCTTGTGCCAGGTACTCTGTTGAGAGTTTTGCTTGTCCTCTCTCATTAATCCTCACCACAAACCTTTTAGTAGCTGCAATATTTCTCTTCATGTTACAGATGAAGAAACTGAGAATTAGAGAGGAAAGGGAAATTCCCACATTTTTCAGCAAATATTTGATACTGGCTCTAAGCTAACATCAATTCCTGGCGAAACAGAATACCGCTGTGGTCCACCAGTCAAGTGAAGAGTTAGAAAGATGAGGTGTGAGATCCGTGAATCCATCCTGTGGTTGGCGCCTCCTTCCCAAGTGTGTAGCTGGAATAGATGTGCTTGGAAATTGAGCCATAGCTTCAGGAAAGTCCAAGTGGAAAACTTTAAAATTGTATTTCCATACCATATCTTCATACAAAATAGTAAATCAAAAGTAATACCACGCATCACAGGAGGAATCATTGAGATAAGGACCACCATCAAAGACTTAAAAGATTCTGAAAAATTGACTCTTCCCTCAACCCCATTGAACTCAACTATTTAGTCTATGCAAAAAAAAAAAAAGGTCTTGAAAATTATTGGATTTTCAAAAACTTAATCAGATGGTGATATTAAATGTCCCTGCTGTTCCTAAAGTAATCTCATAATTGAAACAAATATTATTTTTAAATGTTTTAAGTAATCTCATTATTGAAGAAAAAAAAACAGACCCTGGTACCTGGTATACATCTATCAATCTTTCCCAATAACCATAATTCACTAGGCATAATTTGCTTTCACTTGAAAGGAGTACACCACACCCTCTTATCTCAGGGTTATGTCAATTCTCTCATTCTGTCATAATTTATTCCTCAGAGACCTTGATCACCTCACATAGCATGAGGCAGAATGTTGATAACAATTACCCTAGATCTCTTGGTGAGACGCAGGAGTGCCAGAGTCGGAGATAAAAATTCAAAGGCTTGCTCCTACATCGAAAGTTCAGCAGTTGCAGTTGTCTGGGACATATCAGAAGAGCCTCTTCAAAGTGCAAGAAAATATGCTGAGTCATGAACCCACTACAACTAAGAAAATGTCCTCTTTGAACTTTGGAGGTGATATATACTACATTCATTTGTAATGCTTCTATCCACTTACGAAATAAACCACACGGGCACCACCTTTTAGGGAGGCCTAGGACAAGGAAAGGCTCTCCAGATGGTCCAGGTAGCTGCAAACATTTGGACCTTGAGATACTGCAGCTCCAGCTGTGCTCAAAGTGTCTGAGGCAGGGTTGATACTGCACAGAGCCGAAGAGCAAACCCTAAGAGCAAAGTAACAGTTTAGGCTCAGAGGGCTTTGAAGCAAAGTTATGTTCCCAAGAACATAATTTTTCTTCTTGTGAGAAACAGCTCTTGGGTTACTTCTGGAATTGGGTAGACTGAATACCAGGGACAACAAGTAATCATGTGCCCTGAATTGACCACCCAGAACTTGGTGTTATCTGAGTCACCGAGCCATAAAGATGGATGTGCCCAGCACTCAGGCATGTCAGGTTCAAGCATCACGGGGAGTTCTTTCCAGGCAGCTAGTCTAAACAAAAAAAAAGAAAGAAAGAAAACTGGAGCCTGGGTTATAGACTGCCTGCATGATAATGCAGGTAACAATCATGGGTGGGCTTTTCACCATCACAACAGCAGTCTCTGAAAGACAATGGAAAAAGAAAACCCTATTTGGCAGAAATTCAAGCAGTACATCTGGGGTATTGTTGTTGTTGTTGTTGTTGTTGCTGCTGTTTTACTTTGTGTAGACAGAAAGATAATCAGAGGTACAAATCTACACTGATTCATGGGATATAGTGAATGGTTTAGCCATATGGTAAAATTTGGAAAAACCAGGACGTGAAGGATTAGTGACACGGAGGCTTGGAGAATGGGTATATGAATGCACAGATTAGAATGGACTCAGCGGGAGGTGAATGCTCACCAAAAGATCTCCTTGTGGAAGAGGTTCTCAATGAGCAGAGAAACAAGATGAGGATCTGTGGATGTCCATCAACCTCCTTCCTCTACTACCTCAATGCTTTCTCAACAGGCTCATGAATTAAGTAAACAGGATGGCACAAATGGAGGTGATATGTGGACTTCTCTTCTCCAAGGCTGGTCTAGCTGGCCTCATCACTCAAAGTCTAGCCAGCCACCAGACAGCAGATAAATTATAATTAGACCCCTTCCAAAATGGCAGGGGCCTCAATGTCTTCTCTGGCATAGAAACATATGGATATACATATTTCCTTTGCTGCTCTGCCAACTGCCTAGGACTTTTTGAATACAATATTCACATAGGATCCAACACATTGCTTCTGATGAAGGATCTGACTTTATAGCAAAGCAAGTGAGACAATGAGATCCCACTCAAAGAATTTGCCAAGTTTAGGGCAGCCAGTTGGCTCAGGTGGTTAGAGCACAGGCTCATAACACCAAGGTTGCCAGTTTCATTCCCACATGGGCCGCAGAGCTGCACCCTCCACAACTAGATTGAAAACAACTACTTGACTTGGAGCTGATGGGTCCTGGAAAAACACACTGTTCCCCAATAAAGTTTTTTTTATTAAAAATAATAATAATAATTGACCAAACTTAGCGTGCCCTCCATCTCCAGACACAGCTGGCCTTAAAGAATACCAGAATGGCCTACAGAAGCCTCAGCCATGGCACCAGGTGAGAAATGACAACCTGGAAAAGTTAATGTGCTATCTTATGGTTGCAGCATATTCTCTGAACCAACAACCAATATATGGCCCCATTTCTTTCTTGCTAGAAAGTGTTGGTCCAGCATGCAAAGGAAGGCAGTAAGGCTGGCATTTCTCACGTTTCCACTTGACCAAGCACCCACAAAATCTATCTGCTTCTCATGCCTGCAGGTTCAGGCATTCTTTTTTCACAGGCCCTAGGAGTTAGGGAGAAATGCTTCTGGAAGAGAATGCAGCAATGGTTTGATGATGTGTAACTTAAAACTGCTGCCTCTCCACAGCTCCTGGTGACCATCCATGGTGACCCTGACAAGGCATCCTTTTGGCAGTGGGTTTTAGTGGAGGCAATTAGGATTTACCACAGTAGCTTTTTGATTCAGCAACTTTCTGCCACAGCACTGGCTGTTTTCTTAATCACTGTCCAGGTAATGAAATTCTGGGGCTCCCTACAGGCTCAGCCTAAGAACAGGTCCTCCAGCCTTCCAATAATAGTAAGCACCAAATAACTGGTAATAAATTACTTCCTGTTTAAATGACCTAGATAAGTTTCAGTGTTTGCAACTAATCAATAACTGATCAGGTGGTAGAAATGCGTTATGGTAACACGTGTCCCAAACCCATTAAAATGTGTGTGCTCTTTAACACAGAATTCTTTTCTGGGGATTTCTCCCCAAAGAATAAATGGGTAAGTGTACAAAAGTGCATATGCAGAAATGTATCTTTTTCTAATTCAGAACAATTGAAGCTCATCTCTATCTCTAACAAATGACAATTGATGACTAAACAAGAGCCATCTATAGAATCAAAATCAAACCAGATATTTCAGAATGATATTCTACTTCTCAACAGAGAAGAAAAAAACCCTCATAGAATTTAGAGTGAATTCATATTCCTCAAAGAAAACGCAATCCGTAAAGACATGTAGTATAGCATGTAACTTTCTATAAGTGGTTATGCTTTGGTCTTGTACTTGGAAAACAGGCAAAGGAATGAGGAACAACAGGTAATCCCCTAAAATGCTTTGTATATAATTTGCAATATTCCCAAGTAAAAAATATGCATTTATTACAATTTAAATTATAGCAACTAAAGTCATGATGCACATTTTAGTCATTATTTTCCAACCATTTATTGCATGTCCACTATAAGCAATACATGCCGAGAAGACCAAGATGAAAAAGACGCAGGCCTACCTGAAAGAAGCTTTCGGTAGAGTAGGAGGGTCTGAACTTAATGGTTCAATTTCAAAAGTTGCTCCCAACTACACTGTTGCTGTCTGACTCTCGCCCTGTCTGCCCTTTTGACATGTTATGAGAGAGGCATCGGTATTATCAATATTAGAAGGTTGTCACAATTCAGCTCTAATGTATGACGGTGTCTTAAATTATTTTTCTTCTGCTACATTTGAGATCCAGGGGTGATGTCACATAAGAACTTTAAAATGTTTCCCTAATCTTTATTCTTTTTCTATAGCTTAGGATTTTATTAACATATTTCTACACATACACACACCTTATCTATCTTCAAAAGTTGGTTTCCTTAGTGCAGAGTAAATGCTGGTGTAATTTGCAGCACATCTCCAGTCATTGTGCCCTTGGCCCAAGCAAGTTCGTTTCAATTGATTGACATCTTCAGTGTTGTATTCCATGGCACACATTCTCCATTTCTTGCCATGCCTGAAGATGAGCCGAGAAACACTGAAGTCCACCTGTGAATGTGATGGAGTGGAAGAACACGATAAATAATCCTTTCTTTACCCAATAATCACGTTCAGGTATTATAAACTTCATGGACCAATTTCCTTATTATTGGTTCACAAACAAATCTTTATAAAATGAAGACCAAAAGAATGTCATCAACTGTGTAGTTGGATTTTTCAAAAATCAACACCCAATTGTTGGGATATATCGAGAAAGTTGCAGGTGCCACCCTCCACATACTCCCTTCAAGAATTTGGGTGCTGCAGTTAAGAAAAGTATTTCCTCTACATTCATAGTTCCATTTTTAAGGCCACCAATCAGTATCTATTTTTCATACAGCCTGAGTCCTTCCGTGTCCAAGACACGATCCTTTTGCTCACAGACACTCGAGCAAGGTGGGAGGAGGGAGACACAGATGCAAACATTGTGTGTAATTACTAACTCTAAGATAGGGGAGCTTGATCCAGATGAGGCGCAAAGATAGACATGGAGAGATGGGGAGAGAGATTGAGAAATCAATAGGGATTGGAGAGAAAGAGACCTGAAGGATAGATAAGATGTAGACAGCTACAGAGAGGATGAAAGATGTTCCCAATAGAAGGGGCAGTTAACGTCAGAGAGGACCCTGAGCTGAGGGTGATGCAGGGAACAGGAAAACAACATTGAAAAGGTTCTTCAAAACATTTATCATCTAAGTTCATTATACAAACAAAGCCAGTGTGCTGTAATTATGCCTGTGTTCTATGTTTCACACTTGTCCTAATTAATCCTCAGTACAGAACTTAGAAGTTGGCATTATTGCAAGAGAAAGAAACTGAGGCTCGATGATATTAAGCAGGTTGCCCAAGGTCAATAACCAGTATGTGCTTAAGTTAGAACCCAAATCCAGATTGGTCCAGCTCCAAATCCTATGCTCTCTTCCCCTCCCCACTTTGCCTCTCCAGCAGTAGCCTCACTTTCCATGTTGTAAAATCCAAGTGCAGGAGGAATCCTTGGCTGTTTAGCTGAAATCAGACCCACTCTAATTTCCAAAATGGTTCAGGTCTACGCAAATAATGGGACCCTGCCTACTGTCCCAGTTGTCCAAGGGCAAACCTTGCTGGAAACACACCTGCTGATCAGGTGATTGATTGGGCTGGGCTTGATCCTGGGGGCTCACTGGAACGGCAGGGCCACAGTAGGCCAGCCTCAGCCTTAAGAGACACCTCCCTTCAGCCCTCTATGCTGCAAGAGAAGCATCACTCTCACTGCACCCCCTGGACACTTAAGGAAGCAGAGGAACTCATTAATTATCATTACTGTAGCTGATACTGTCATGGCAGTGCTGGGCACCCAGCCACCACTTTGAAAAACAGTGCTGACATTTGCCTAGGAACTCTTTGGATCAGAGGGCCCTGTCCCTCTCCCCACATGGGCATCAAGAGGGAAAATATTATTGCATAGAGGAGATATGAGCACATTTAGTCATCCTATCATTCACCCTTAAAAGTGAGCTCTAGTCCCCAACCTAAAAATCTGCGAAATAAGAGAGCCTAAGATAGATGGATGAGATTTTTGCTTTTAGCTAGGGTAACCATCTGACTTATCCAATCCTGAACACTTCTAAGAGTGAAAGGGGGTGTCGCTAATAAGTACACTGCAACAACAGGTGTAAAATGATCTTCCTTCCACTTCTCAGAGTCTTGCAAAACTAGACTTTAGAAATTGTATTACTTGTCCTGGTAACTGCTATTAAGTGTGTTGTGTGTGACCCTACAGAAGGGGTAAGATTTGGATAAACAAAAGGGGCATACGATGATAGTTCAGCCAAGAGCTGCAACCACGCTGAAGTTATAGTCCATGTATAATGATGTGTGATATGTTGAAACAGTAGTAACACTAACATGCTAGGGACACTTATGAACACAGAACGATCAATACTATCATACAAAGAAGTATCATTTTGCCCACATTATTTTACACAGAGAATATATAGAGAATATATTTTCATGTGGCAGAGCGGTTGTTACATTTTTGAGTTTTTGTTATTTGAGAATAATTCAGCAGTAGGGTTCTGACTGTATCAGCAAGCTATTACTGCATAACAAACAGTCCCAAAACTTAGGGGCTTCAAACACAAATGTTTATTACCTCACAGTTTCTAAGGGTCAGGAGTCCAGGAGTGACTCAGCTGGGAGGTTCTGGCTTACCACCTCTCATGCGGTTGCAGGTGCTACATAAGCTGGGACTGCAGTCATCTGAAGGCTCGACTGGGGCTGAAGGACCTCGGTCCTTGCTCACTTGTGCGGCTGTTGGCAGTGGCCTTATTTCTCCGCTGGTTACTTGCAGAGGCCTCAGTCTTCTCCATAGGAAGGTTCACAACATGGCAGCTGATTTCCTCTAGATCCAATAAAAAGGAAGTGACCATGATGGAAACCACACTTTTAGAAACTAATCTCAGAAGCGACTACCATTCCCACAGCCAAACCCTAATACCCATATTCCACAAGCATGTGAGTACCACTAGTTGGGATCATTGGGACTATCTGGGAGCCTGGTTCAACACACCAACTTTTCAGTGTTCTAAATTTTGTATCTTTCACTAAATGATGCCACAATTATTTCATAAATATAAAATTTTAGAAATTTTAATTCTAAAATACTAAGAGAAATATAATCTTGAAATATAGGCAATATTTTACCTTAAAGTCATATGACTATGAAAAACATACTACATCCTCCTTATTTTTCTAATTTTGCCAAGAACAATTCTAGATCTGTTTGCTTTATTTAGTACCTATCTCCCCCAATTAGGACAGGTATTTTGTGTCTCATTGACTGCTCTTTGCCCAGTGGCTCCAACAGTCATTAACATAATGTAAGAGACAGAAATGTTCCTTCAATAAATGAATGATGGACATTTTACCTTGGATTGGTAATTAGCAGTGGACCAAAGCTTGGGAACAATGACTTTGGGCCTCCATCCTGAAGTTATTCTTTCTGCCCACAAGGACAGAACTGGTTCAGTTGAAAGCACATACCATAGGCCAAGTCTCCCAGAACCTCAAGTACGACAAGCTGCAGCACAAGCAAAAAGTCAAGCCACCTATAAGGTATCACGAGGCAGGAATTTGTCTATGGTTTCAAAAGATCAGCTTCCTGTGGAATAACATGCATGAGATTTGGTCTTTAAATGTAACTTAGATCTATTATAGGTGTAGGTAGTAAGACAAGCAGTCTTAAAGAGAAGAGTTTCTCATCGTTGTCTGAATTTCCATATCCTTTTAAAGTGGTACAACTAAGGCTAGGAGGATGAAACTTTTATTCAGGGTCACAGAGCTGATTCCAATCAAGGTCAAGGTTTTCTTCTGTTCTTCACTGGTCTTCACCATCTGGTATCATCCCCACCCCCATTCTCCCTCCCACTCTAAGACAGAAAGGCTCAGCCCTGGGTGGCCCTGAACTCCACAGAGTATTCGCCTTCCCCTCACCCCCAAACCTCACTGGAAGGCCAGGGACCCCAACCACCAGGATGTACTTGGAAGGCCCACACCACCTGACTGCAAGGAGCCACAGCCAAAATGAGCTCAGCATTGCCTTTGTAGTTTGTTGCTGAAAAAATTACCTCCTCCCAAAAGAAGTCTCAGTAAATATGGGTTATAATACAGCCTAAAAAGGTGCTTACCAAGAGAAAAACCTTTAGCTTTTCTTAACTCTGACACACCTTGTTTTATGTTTTATGCAACAGGTATATTTCTTTAAAAAAAAAGAATTAATTTTGAAGCACACACAACCAGTAATTTCAATTCACTAGAGAGTTAGCTATTCAGAGGAACCCTGTTGTAAATCCTTTCACAAACTGAAGAACATTTAAGTAATTACCCTCTAATTTACGTGCTCTGTAAGGTCAACTATTTAAATGTCTGGCTTTCTTAATTCGAGGCACACCCGCATTTATAGAACCTCTTTAAAACTTATTATGGCCGACAAACGTATTTCTTTTCTTTAACAGAAAAAAACAACTATATTTTGGTGAAATAGGCAAAAGATATCTATTATCCTGGCAACTGTTGTAACATATGCCTATTGCAAATAGGATTCCTGTCGAACTGATCCAGGCTTAATATGATCTAGAATCAAACTGTTTCATATTTAAAAACAATTGTGAGCACATGCATCTTAAGTCCCTATAATTTGTATTTAATCTTTAAACTCTTGTAATTTGTATTCAACTTACTCATAATATTTAATTATATGATAGTTAACCATGAGGTGTTTTTATTTCTCTGTACACTTAACAAACAAGCTATCAACTGAAATAAGTTAATAATAAGATTAGAAGATATTTGAAATATTTGGAAATATCCTTTAAAATATTTCTTTAACCAATAAGTTATCTTTTACATGTCATTAAGCCAAGATAAAAAAGATTCAATGAAAATTGTGCTCCTTATTTTTAACAATGTAGCGTTCCGATTTTGGTCTTTATTTGATGGAACCAGCATGCTGTGGCAGAGTATACCAGAATTTACATGCTGAAGAGAAACAAAATACTGTCTGTAATTGGGGGTCTGAAGAAGCTGCTTGACCATTAAAGTGAAGAGCTTGAAAAAATGAGAACAGGCGACAGGCACACTGATGAGAACTGTGAGCGAGGCCACAGGCACCTGGGAGAGAGTGACCTGGCCAATTGCAGGCAGAGCCACTGGCCAGAGGACCAAGGCGGCCATCGCTCACTTCCAAAGACACCATTCACATGGAGTCCAGCATGAATGGCGCCCCCTAGAGCACAGTTCAGTGACAGCTTCTCACATACGTGACCGGTGCCCCCTAGAGGTGTTCCGTGGCCCTCCCAGCCTCGCTCCCCGCCCCACCCCCCACCCCCACCCCACATACTATTTTCTCCTCTTCAGATTCAGCTCCTCAAGACTCTGGTCCAAATGTAGGCAGAGGCCACAGGATTGTTTGACCATTCCGAATTCACCCTGTCCATAAGCAGACTAAAATGATGACAACCCCTAGTCAGTAGAAGCTTTTAACTCTTCTCCAGTTCCGGCGACTTTTCCAGGCAGGACTCACTGATGGCTGTGACCCTTCATGGTGAACCTGAGAAGGAGCAGTGGGCCAGAAAGGTGGTAGGAGCTGTGGCCGACAGCACAGTGCAACTCCTGACTCAAGGCATCCATAGCCAGGGAGTTTACACATCTGAACGGTGTGGGGGACCAGAGTCAGACTACAGGCTGCCTCCAAACTAGCTGACATCAGGGAACAACATCAGTGACCTTTTTATAGTATAGGGCAGCTTCCCAGGAGAGACTAGCACACTCAACATGCTGCTTAGTTCTTTTTGCTCCATATAATTATAATAATGATCTCATTATCGACGTCGTCATCATCGTCTTCACCATCACCGTCACAGCTAACATTTCCTCAGAGGTTACCATATACCAGCAATGTTCTGAGTGCTGTACACACATTCATTTCAACTGTACACCAACCCTGTGTGCATTACGACCTCAAATCCTGTCCCCGCACCCCAGTCCAACACTGCTGCTATGGTCCATCCATGTGGGCTGCAAGCATTTCCGCTCAAATGCAACATGACAGGGCTTCATTTCACTGCTGCTCCTCCCACCTCCTGCCTCCTGCCCAGGCTTCTCTGATGCTGCAGGTGAGCCCACAGAACCCTGCTCAGCACTGCCACAGGTGCGTGAGAAGCACAAGGATCCCAACCACCCCAGGACCAAAGGTAGACCATTCTGAGACACATCTCACAAGTTTCCGGGGCCTGAGCTGCCAGCTATGCAGCCCCCCTGGTTTGGGCTCCCCCTTCTTCCAGGCCTCTCTCCCCTGGCTCCCCATTTCTGTTCATATAAACTACTCACACATCTGCCTTTGTCTCTGGCCTCTGCTCTCAGGAGGTCCCAGCTGGGGTAGTTGGTAACAGGGCAGCCCTAGAAAGCAGATGCTCAGAATCAGACATTGGAGCTGGATCACTGGCCCATCAGATGGCAGTAAGGATGCACCTCTGCAGGTAAGTGGGTGGTCTGATCACAGTCCCTGTGCCTCCTGCTGTGATGGACTTGGATGCGGGACAGGTGGAAGGTGAAGTACGGGTTAGCAAAAACAATGGCACTTAAATAGCACAGGGCAATGGTCACTGTAAATATTGTGGAGAGAGTTTTGTCCGTTGCTGTGGAAATCTTGGGGGAAAAAAGGGCTATCATGCATCTGTCAAAACCCACTGAATATACAACACAGAGAGTGAACCGTCATGTAAACTATGGACTTTAGTTAATAATATTATCAGTATTTTGATATTATCAGTATTATTGAGCTGATCGGTGTCAGCTCATCCATTGTAACCAATCCACCACACCAATGCAAGATATTGCTAATGGAGCAAACCGTGTCAGGGGATGGAGGCTGGGGGTTGGGGAGAAGGGGCACATGGGAGCCCTGCACTTCCTGCTCAATTTTTCTCTAAACCTAAAACTGCCCTAGTAAACAAAGTCCATCATTTTTAAATAGCTGCAAAGAAGTTGAAAAAATAAAACAGCAGGCTCGGATCAGTCAGTTCTCTCCTCAAAGCAGGCTCAAAAGCAAAAAACTTTCTACAGCTGCAGGGCAGGAAAAAAAGCTGCAAGGGACATGGCTGAGAATCACTCTCATGCTCTTAGTAATGGCGGCAGGCCATGGGGGAGACCCAGGGCACAGCCAAGGCAGACCTCCCATGCTGAAGTCAGGGAAGGGGCTTGGGTTTGGGCCACTGAGCCTGAGAATCTTGACTCACAGATTTCCCTGAACCCTCCGCACTGGCAGAAGCAGTGTCCTCACTTTCGATAGAAGAGGGCAGCCTGCCCCTGCGTGTAGGCCTATAAGGTCTCATCTAGGGCATGTTCCTCATATAATGATGCTTGTCGTCCTCAAGAGCTGCTCCCTGCTGCCACCCCTCCTGCCCCTCCTGATCTCCACGGAGGCTGTGTGGGGAGATAAAGTCCTGATGTGAATGCAAAGAGCTCACCCACTGAAAGGACTGTGGAACCTGGGGACTCTGTACCTGCAGAAACCAGGACATGTGGGGACAGGGCAAAGCGAACTTAAGACTGGACTGGGGAGAGCGTAATGGCCTACAGCTAAAGAAATTGACATAAGAGAACCACTTTGGCAGAGAGGTGAGGAAGAGTCAGAAAGCTCAGGGAGTGAGAACCTCCTAAAGGGTTTAAGTGAAGAGTCCAGAGAGCCTGCTGCCAGCCCCTGTGACCTGGGAAGGGACCCGACTTCTTGGTGCAGCTTAATGCTGCTGTTCTCTGCAGGAACGGCAGGAGAAGCAGCAGCACTGGGACCAGGCTCCCCAGTACCAGTGGGGGTGTCAGGATGCTAGAATAATAGAGGCTGGGAGCAGGCGGCATCACTAACCATCAGCACTGAGGACTGCAATGGGAGGCCAGGCCAGGAGGCAACCAGGACGCCTTGACCCCTAAGGAACTGTCAGTAGCTAATAGATCATGGCATTCTGGGGGGCAAGTAGATGAACAAACAGCCAGCTTGCAAGCCAACTTGTATATTCAAAATAATAATAATATAAGAGTAATAATAACTGATGAATGGAAGATCAACATCAGCCATTACAGTGAAAAGTTGCACCCCATCCATACCCCAGTTTTCAGAACTAAGTCAGCTCACAGACCACAAGCCATTGGTTGAAGGGGACTCAAGGCTTCTTGAGAGAGGACTCTATGACATCCCTACAAATGCATATAATAAAAATCCCCCAGGAGACCTTCAGCCGGGGTAACTGCCCTGGGAAAGGGATTAGCCAGCCTTTCCAAAGCTGATGAACACAGGGTCTGGGTTGACACATTAGAAATGCAATCAAGGACCCCAGGTAGAGTGAGGCAGGTGATGCAGAGATCTGGCCTAAGTCTATCTGTTGATGAGAGAACAGCCATCCTGCAGCCATTTCCCTAGACTGCTAGAGTGTCACTGGGGTATAAAACCTTAGCAACTGACAAATCTTGGTTATTTACTGTGGACAAAGGGCACATGGGGTACAAAGAAAAGGCAGACATTCCTAA